GCGCCTGTGTACGGACGGGGAGAGGGGAGGGCCCCCGCGCCAGCCTGCTCCGCTGGCCACGTGGGCACAGGCAGTGGCAGAGAGCGAAGAGCCCTCCCAGGTCTGGGCGAGGCCCCGTCCCGTCGGCACAGCTTTTGCTTCCCGTCCCCGCCTCCCCCGACTCACCCGGGCCGACTTGTCTTTGCACGTGGCCGGGGCGCTGCTGCTGCCCGGGTTCCCCAGCATCTTCCTGTACATGGCTGTCTCCACGTTCCTCTGCTCCGCGTGTTTCTTCACCAGCTTGGAGAGCTCTGCGTGGATGGTCTGGGGGGGGAGAGACAGCCAGATGGCCCTGAGAAGCCAGCCCCACCTCCCCTCGCCGCAGACTGAGCAGCACGGCAGCCCTGCGAGGGCCCAGAGCCAGAAGCCCCTTGGAGCCAGGCTCAGACACTGAGGCTGCTGCAGTCAGGACTCCCTCCGGGACAACGGGAGCTGATGCTTCCACCTCCCCTGCCATCCAGCCCCAGTGCTGAGCAGGGACACGTCCCTGGGGCTCCTCCTACCACAGCGTCTCTTAGCTGCTCAGATCGGGCAGGCCAGGCCTCGGGCCAGGAGAGCAGCCAGGCAGCTCTCATCCTGGGGTTGGGCCTTTGCCTCTGCCGCAGCGTTCCGCCTTGGAGAGCCCCCCCGAGGGGACGACAGGGCCTCGCATGAGCTCCAGCCCTGGGGAGGGGGAGAGATGCCCCCATTGGGTTGGTAGTAAGGCTGGTCGTGCCTGAGGTACTAGCATCCCCCCACCTCTCCCCATCAGATCCCTCTACGAGTATGTGATTCGGCCTTGCGCCAACAGCCAGGACAGGCCCACGGTGCCCAGCTGGGGCTGCAGGCCAGGGCCTGGACGTCCCCAGCAGAGAGGGCAGGACAGCAGAAGGGTCCCGGTCCCAGCAGGTCTTGCAGCTTCTCGCCTCTGCCAGGGTGAAACTGAAGCCAGGTCATGTCAGGAGACCGAAGGCATGCGTGGGCCTGAGCTCCTGGCAGGCACTGGGCACGGCTGCCTAGTCAGGCTGGTGTTCCTGTCCAGCAGCCTCCGGTCCATTCCCCCTGGAGGTCAACGTGGTGCATGAGTAGCCAGGGAGGCAAATGGTGCAACAGCCATCTGGCTTCATTACCCCAGCCCCTGCCTTAGGGAGGAGTCAGTGACAGGGCCCCCTGGCCACGGCAGGGAGTCATGCGGCCAGTAGCACTGCCCCCAAGCAGGCTGCGCCCCAGATCACCACGGGGCCTCGTGGCTGGGGTGGGGTCAGCGTGGACACAGCAGTACAACCACTGCCCTGGCCCACAAGGACGGGAAGGGATCCCAGAAACCCGCACGGCCCTGGGGGCAGCTTTAGACCTTCTGCTGTCTCCAAAGCTGAGGCGCTTGCAAGCTCATCGCCCGGCCCTTGGCCCGAAGGGGGAAGAGACACCTGGCCCGAGAACACCGAGAGAACCCTCGGGGGGAGCTTTCAGGACGACAGAGCCAATCCCGCTCCGACGTCCCACTATCTCCCCCAGGCGTGGGGGTCAGGAAGAAGGGAAAGCAGCCCAGGGTTGGAGCAGGCAGGTCTAGGAGGCACTTGGATCAGCGTCGGGTGGGAGGGGGAGCAGAGGCCTGCCCGCCTCAGCCCCAGAAGGTGCACGGCCGCATGGGGCTGTGCAGGGAAGAACAAGCTGGAGGGATGGAGGCACCAGAACTAGGGATGTTAACTGAATAGTCAAGTAATCTCGTGAATGTTTATCGGTTACTCGACGATTCTATAGTCCCTGGGGGTGGGGCCGGTGGGCCGTGAGCTCTGGCCTCAATCCCAAGGAGGCTGCCATTCCGTGCTGCTGAATCAGAGGCAGCAGCGTGGGGTGCCGGGCGGGAGCTGGTCCGTGAGGGGAGCTAGTTGAAAAACCAGCAGACCTCACGGCCCGGATGCCTGTCACTCCATGCTGCTGCCTCCCCCCAGTGGCTGGTGCCACTCCTGTATAAAGGAAGACGGAGGTATGAACTCCTGGACCTGGCTTGAGCCAAAATGGAGCCAGGCTGCCTGTTCACCCGGCTCCTAATACACTTTAAATGAAGAGACCTGGACCCGGTGTGAGCCAGGACTGAGCCGGGCTGCTGGCCAGCTTGCTAGAACATTTACTGGCGGGGAGAGGGGGAAATGCATCTAGTCTATAGCATTTAACCGATAAGCAAACGCTTCTCGGTTAATCGACTGCACCGTTACATCCCTAACCAGAATCCCATCCCGCGGGCTGCTTGTAGGAGATGTATTCCTCCTTTATTCGCCAAGGACCAGGGCCCTTTGCTGGGTGACCAGCTGCAGGCTGCCACACGGGCAGTGGTGCTGATTTCAAAGCAAATGGGAAAGGACTTTGGGGGATTTTTAAAAGGCGGTTAAGTATCAGAGAGGTAGCCGTGTTAGTCTGAATCTGCAAAAGCAGCGAGGAGCAAAAAAAACTTCAGGACCAGACTTCAAAGAGAAACTGCTGAGCTACAGTTCATCTTCAAGTTTGACACAATCAACTCAGGATTAAACAAAGACTGTGAATGGCTCGCTCACTACAAAAGCAGCTTCTCCTCTCTTGGAATTCACACCTCCAGGTCAGCTACTAGAAGTGGGCCTCATCCTCCCTGATTGGATCCACCTCGTCATCTCCTGCCTGATTCTGGCCTGAATATTTATACCTGCCTCTGGAAATTTCCACTGCATGCATCTGACGAAGTGGGTCTTTGCCCACGAAAGCTTATGCTCCAACACTTCAGTTAGTCTATAAGGTGCCACAGGACTCCTCGCCGCTTTAAAAGGAGGTTGTGACACTGCTCAAGACAAGGCACAGCAGAGAGGCGGCCGACTTTGTTGGGAGTCCCACCGGAGAGAGAGGACGGGGGAGGCACGATCCAATGGAAGTGGGACTCCAGCAGGATCGGACAAGCCCCGGCCTGTCTCTCTAGCACGGTTGCCCGGGTTCTCGAAGAAGCAGTAACAACATTCAGTAGGAGTCCAGGTACTTCGGTGATTCAGATCTGCTCCTTCCTGACCTGCATCCTTGTGAAGCCAGGCTGGATAGCCCCCAGGTGTCCCAAGAGGTGCAGGCCAGTCCCGGCACAGCCTGGCACGGAGCGTGCTGCCCTGCAGTCCTACCCTCTCGGAACCGAACGATGGTCACGCCAGGGCTCGAGAGCCACTGAGCAGCGTTTGCCCAGCCTCAGCCCCGCTCCCCGGGGTGCAGCACTGACAGCCCCCGCCCCCACAGCCCACGTGAGAAGAGCCGGAACAGAGCTGCGGGCAGGCAGGACCCGAACCCAGGGCCTGGAACGACTCAGGGATTTGGTTTCTGGCCTTTGCGGCTTGTGTAGTGGGGCTGCGCCCTCTGCTGGGGGAAGCGGGAGCCTTGTCCCTTCACAAGCGGCGGTGGAACGGCGCCCGGCCAGGGGCAGGGAAGAGAGTTAGCACAAGGAGCCACGTTCCTTGACATCTGCTAGAAACACGCAGGGTAAATAAGACATGGCTCATTTCAGGGCATCTGAGTTCACCGTTCCCCTGCTCAATGGCTGCTGGAGCAGCGCTGCCCGGAGCTCATGGCACAGCGTGGACTGGGGGGAGGGGCAAGAGGCCACACTGCTCTCCAGGCCGCCAGCTACCACAGCCCTGCCCCTTCCAGCAGCGTGGAGCCAGCCCCCTCCTCCCCTTGCCCAGGGGCCCGCAGAGACGGTCGGCTCCGCTGGGAACACCTGGGATCAGCCCCTTGCAGAGCAGCGAGGCCTCCTCAGGGCAGAACCTGCCTCCCTCCCCTCTCTGAAGCGTAAGAATCTGGAACCTCCACGTAGAGGCTGGGAAGGGAAGCAGTCGATACCGTTTGCTTGGTTTGCCCCCGGGGAAAAGCACCTGGCTGACAGCCCCAGAGAACTGAAGGGCCAGACAGTCAGAGGTACCTGATTTGTCAGGGGAAGAGTCTACAGCTACTGGAAAGGGAAATCATAGCTCGCAAATCCATTCACGTTCTTTAAGGGGGTCGCTAGGCATGTGGACAACGGTGATCCAGTGGATGCAGGCTACGTGGACTTTCCAAAAGCCTTTGACAAGGTCCCTCGACAAGGGCTTAGGTAAAGTAAGCGAGGTAAGAGGGAAGTTCCTCTCACCAACCAGTAACGAGTAAAAAGATAGAAAACAAAAGAATAGGAACAAATGGTCAGTTTTCAGAACGGAGAGGGGTACATAACAGGGTCCCCTGCGGGGTTACGGAGAGGGGTACATAACAGGGTCCCCCGCGGGGTTTGTACTGGGACCAGTGCTGTTCAACACATTAAGGAAGGCTCTGGAGAAAGGCATAAGCAGTGAGGTGGCAAAATTTGCAGAGGACACAAAATTATTCAAGATCATTAAGCCCACAGCTGGCTGCGAAGTGTTACAAAGGGAATCTCCCAAAACTGGGTGGCTGAGCAACAAAACGGCAGATGAAATTCAGTGTTGATAAACGCAAAGTAACGCACATGGCAAAAAAACCCCAGCCGTTAAACGCAAAGTAACGCACATGGCAAAACAATCCCAGCCGTACAGACAGTATGATGGGATCTAAGTTTGCTGTTCCCACGCGCGCGAGAGAGAGAGAGATCCATCTTGGAGTCACTGTGGACAGTTCTCTGAAAACCATCCGCTCAATGTGTGGCCCCAGTCAAAAAAAGCTAATAATCTTAGGGAAGAGATAGATAAGGCAGCAGAAAATAGAACTACATAGCTCCATTGTGTGTCCACACCTAGACTACACCGAATGCCGTGGTCACCCCATCTCAAAGAAGATGCAGTAGAAATAGCAAAGTACAAAGAAAGGCAAGAAGAAGATGCAGTAGAAATAGCAAAGTACAAAGAAGGGCAAGAAAAATGACAAGGGGCTTGGAATGGGTCACATATGAGGAGAGATTAAAGAGACTGGGACGGTTCAGCTGAGAAGAAAGACAGCTAACCCTCCCGTTCCATTCCCTCTGAAGCCTCTCACGTTGGCCACTGTTGTGAGACAAGACACTAGGGCCAGATGGACCATGGGTCTGACCCACTGTGGGTCCCATTCAGGCGCCTTTATGCCCCGGAGCAGGTGAAGCTAGATTCTGCAGCTCATGAAAAACAACATCCTATGCAGCACGCTGCGAGCTAATGAACACCACTTCCCTCCAGACACCTGCACCCGCTGCTCCTGGGAAATCCGACAGCCGGGAGAGGCCAGGCCTGTGCTAGACACGGACGTGCCCAGCGAAGGCTCCTATCATGCACTGATGTTTCTTCCTCTTTAATTAAGAAGTTAAGCTGCTTGGTGCCCGAGAAGCAGCCCGCATGGACATTCCTGATGCGTGGTAGGGATGTTAAGCAGCATGTAATCGGTTACCTGTGTAGCCAACGGTTTTGTTGACTACACGCTTAATCGATAAGGGTTAGCAGAGAAAGCTCAGTCCTGGCTCGCACCAGGCCCCTTGGTAAACCCCGCTGCGGCTCTGCATTGTGAAGGGACTCGAGTCCCAGCTCGCGCCGGGTCGCAGCATAACCCCCGGAGCGCCTCAGTTGCCTAATAATGCGGAGCGCTGACCTGCACCCAAGGGAGCCAGCCAACTGGCCTGCCTCCCAGGGACCACAGAGCAGCACTGACCTGCTCCCAAGGGAGCCAGCCAACTGGCCTGCCTCCCAGGGACCACAGAGCAGCACTGACCTGCTCCCAAGGGAGCCAGCCAACTGGCCTGCCTCCCAGGGACCACAGAGCAGCACTGACCTGCTCCCAAGGGAGCCAGCCAACTGGCCTGCCTCCCAGGGACCACAGAGCAGCACTGACCTGCTCCCAAGGGAGCCAGCCAACTGGCCTGCCTCCCAGGGACCACAGAGCAGCGCTGACCTGCACCCAAGGGAGCCAGCCAACTGGCCTGCCTCCCAGGGACCACAGAGCAGCGCTGACCTGCACCCAAGGGAGCCAGCCAACTGGCCTGCCTCCCAGGGACCACAGAGCAGCGCTGACCTGCACCCAAGGGAGCCAGCCAACTGGCCTGCCTCCCAGGGACCACAGAGCAGCGCTGACCTGCACCCAAGGGAGCCAGCCAACTGGCCTGCCTCCCAGGGACCACAGAGCAGCGCTGACCTGCACCCAAGGGAGCCAGCCAACTGGCCTGCCTCCCAGGGACCACAGAGCAGCGCTGACCTGCACCCAAGGGAGCCAGCCAACTGGCCTGCCTCCCAGGGACCACAGAGCAGCGCTGACCTGCACCCAAGGGAGCCAGCCAACTGGCCTGCCTCCCAGGGACCACAGAGCAGCGCTGACCTGCACCCAAGGGAGCCAGCCAACTGGCCTGCCTCCCAGGGACCGGGCTCCAGCTTCAAAGCTGCCTTGAGGAGGGGGATGGCCTCGCCGTACTCCCCTTGCTGCGCCAGCACCTGGAAGCCAAGCCACAAGCTGAGCAGAGGCCCCCAGCGGACAAGTCAGAGGCTGGGGGCACTGTCTGACACACCCACGGTCAGGGGTGACAGCTGAGGAGAGGCCTACTGGCCATGTGACTCCTCCCCATGCCACCCCTAACCTGGGGGAGAGCCAGGACAACCCCTCCTCCGCACCAGGCCCAGCCCCCCCCCCAGCAATGCACCCGGGGGGACGACCAGGTGTCTGGCCTTGGCAGCAGTGGCTGGGCCCCGCTGCACTCACCAGCAGTGGCAGAGAGGAAAAAGAGCAACCTGGCCCCCCGCCACATCGCTCCGTTTCCCGCTGGTCCTGTGCCCTCCCCGGAGCGAGAGGCCGGGAGTCAAGGGAGCAGAGCAAAGCACATTGCTCCGCTCTGCCCTGCCAGCGACAGCGGCATGGAGGGAACGAGGACGATACCCAACCCCCGCTGTCAGTGCCAAGTCCCCTCTGAGGCTCTGTCCCCGCCGGCTGCTGACTCCTTGCCCCTCCTGCCCAAGGCACTGGGGGGGGGGGGGAAATGTTTCCCCCCCCCCCCTGCCGGGCGCACATCACCCCTGCCGGCTGTCAAGGGAAGCAGGGGCCTCATGCAGCACAGCCCCGCCCCCCTCCCTCCTTACCTTCCCCTTGCGGAAGAGGGCCTTGATGTTTTCCGGCTGGTGCTCCAGGACCAGGGTGCAGGATCTCAGGGCTGCCTCATAGTGGTCCAACTTGAGCTGCGAGGCTGCCAGGTTGTTGAGACATTTCACCTTCACTTCCAGCAGCTCGGCCTCCTCCTCCGGGCTGAAGTCGACTGGAGAGACCCCGGAGCAGAGTTACCCTGGAGTACAGCACTTGCCAGCCCTGCTCGAGGCCCCGGGAGCCAACGACCCTCCCCTCCTATCCCCCAAGCCATGGAGGAGTCTAGACCTCACCTGGGCCAGCCACAGAGCAGGAAGGGGACCCCAGGAAGCTGCTGCTGGGTAGGACACACAGCAGGGTGGCCCGGCTCTCAAGGTGCTGGGATCACTGCCCAGAGAGCGGAGGACGGGGCAGGCGTGTAGTGGAGGAAGCAGGCTGCAAAGCCACCCAACGCTGCTTCCCCAAACATCTCCCCCGGTGCCAGAGCAGGGCCCGGGGCACCCCTGGCCTCCACGAGGAGGCGCTGCCGGGGGCTGGGCAGGTACCTTTGGAGCTGGAGTCGATGGCCTTCAGGGCAATGTCGTAGGAGTTGATGGCCAGCACGTAGTCCGCCTGCTGGTAGTAGAAGTTCCCGCGCTCCCGCTTGCGATTGGCCAGCTGGATTTTCTCCCGCCCGCTAAGGAGCTCCAGGTCGGGAGCACCCTGTGCGGCCAGCAGCTCCACTTCCAGGGTGAGGGTGGCGTGGGGCGGGATGTCGGGGGTCCTGCGCAGG